AAACCTTACATGGAACATCTAAAAGCCGAATTTTTCTCCACCTTTATTCCTTCGTCTGTCCCCGGTTCTTATGTTGACGACATTTCCTCATAACTCCTAAACGCTTCAACGTTCAAGCTCCCCAAAGACAAGCTCAACCAGGTCGAGCCTTCAATCCATTCACCTTGAAGAAGAAGTCACAACACTTTCCCTTTTCCCTTGATGTTCTGCTCTCCCAAAGTGACCAAAACTTCATTTAAACTATCGAAAACCACCAACCAAAACGATCTTCTCCACTTCTACTCTCACCATGACCCCAAAACAAAACGTGGTGAAATTTAAAGGGCCCTTTTTTCCCTGCGTGCATCAGAATCTGCAGCAATGAGTTTCTTAAGAAGAATGCACATAATTGAACAAATTTTCTAATCCACTACCCCGCACTTCTCAGGACTCAAGGCGGGGCATTAAACTCTTAAACACACCCAAGAAGCACTGCCGAAAAGAGTACATACCCCCCCCACCGACCCCATTGCCAAACATTTTCCCAACATTTTTTCCAATCCCTCATTCCAAGTTCTACCTCCAAAACCCACGCCCTCAAGGAATTACCTGATAGACGGGGACAAGCTTCCCCTCCAGGGGTATATAATCCCTTAAAATGCTGCAACAAATTTATATGGGCGAAACACAAGGGACCCCCAACACGATTTCAGAACACCAGTAGAAGCGGGGTCTGAGACACAAGGAATGTGTGTCAACAGTATTCCAAAACCCACTTGAAAAACTACAGAAACTTGACTTATCCACGAAGACAACACTCAATCCCAAAAAAATCCTGGAATCATCACTTATTTTATACCCGACAATTTAAACCAGAATGTGGCTTTAAAACATAGTGAACCCTTGCCAAAAAATTTTTCTTCGCTACCCAAAAGAACCGGGGAAGAAAAGAACCTGTAGAAGTCTGCTCACAAATTATCCAACCCCCTTTTCCAAGCTCCCCAAGTTTTTTAGACTCTAAACCCCCTCATACATCATCAGATGCAGCATTCTCCACCTGCCCTCAGCTTTCTGAACCTGACTATAAATACTCGCACCCCTTTCAACCCCAGGTAGTTTGTTTGTGATTAAAAAACCCCACGTTGGGGGAAAAAAGTAGTCAATAAAGGACACATTATACATACGCATTGTGTTTTTTTTCCGTTGTTGGTTTAGAAGACACAGCAAACATAACATTTTATTAAAAAATTTTTTTGTCCGGGGACCTTGCCCACTCCTCTTAACTGATAAAGGCCCGGGGACCGAAACTTTTTCTAATAAATATGTTAAGTCTTGTTTTACGTTTCTTTTAAACCAACTTTTTGGTATTTTTACCAAGGTTTATACCATATTTCCATTGTTCGGTTTTTTATCCCATTTTTTCCCCTCAGTATAATTGACTAGTAATTTGCCTAAAATTGAGGTAGGTTTATTGGGGGGTAATTTGACGGTAACAAACTTGCCCCCTTTTTTTAAAAATAGGAATTACATTACCCATTTTCCCCAATTAGTCTACACCTGTTTGAAGGATAAATTAAAATATTTTTTAAATGGTTCACAGAGTTCCACTTTGCAACCCTTAAAACCCTTGAAAAAACCTATGGACCCAGTGACTTTTTTTGCTTCAGTCTGTCTATTGCTTCAAAACCCCATTTACTAGTGACTGTATGTTACATAATTTATCTTCTACCCACAAAAAAAATTTAATTACGGGAATTTTGTTAGTGTTTTCCTGTGAAAAAAACAGAGAAAATAATTATTTAAAATTGACACATTTCTTTCTCTTTGTCAGTAAAGTTCCCCATAGTTTTTTTTGGGGACCTATTTTTATCTCTAATTTTGTTCTAAGACCGGGAAAAAATTTTTTGGGGTTTGTTTTAGAATCCCTAGCAACTTTAATTTCATAGTCCCTTTTAGCTTTTCTTCCCCTTTTAAAATGTCCCTTTTAAATGTCAATATACTGTTTAAAAAAATGGCCCCCTCACCTCTTTTGATACACCTTAAACCTACCTTTCTTTTGCCCTAGTAGATATTTCGCCTATTATTCCCTTTTGGGGCATTTCTATTTGATCTAATTTCTTTATAGGGAAAAAACGTTTTTTTGAGCAGCTGTTGTGTTCGAAAACTGTCTATTGTAGCTCTCTTCGTTACCCCCGTCAAAAAGAAAGGTTCTCTAAGCCCATTGTAATTGCTAAGCGAAAATCTGGAACTGATACCCAGTTGTCCCTACTTTCTACTTCCTTTTTATGTAAAGGTAAATTTATTTGTGATCATTTTGCCAAGTTCCTCGTAATTTTTTAAATTTTAACAAGGGTTTCCCTTTTTTCCCAGAACCAAATCAAGTGGTTATTTTCCCCCTTTTAGGTTCTGTCACAAAAGCTTCAAAAAACATTCCCGAACTACTTCTAAAAGTCATCTGATTCTAAATTCCCCGTCAAGAAATTCCAAACAATGTATAAAGTTAAAATCCCCTCAATTTTTAAATTTCGTGCCTTGTGGCCTTAATTTCTCCCACAGTAATTTCCCCTTTGGGCCCATCTAAATTTGGGGGCGGTATATCACTCCCCGAATCAATTTTTAGCCCCTCTGAAAATTCTACAAGACAAATCTGATGTTTACCTCAACTTAATACCCATTTTTAGCAAAAGTTAAGGGTCTCGAATCATGCCACCCCCCCTCCCCTTTTTCCGATATTTTTTAACTACTTGGAAAAAAAAAAAACCCTGAATGTGACATTCCCCAAAGGGGATGTCCCCCTTTTGGGAAATTAACCATGTCTCAGTTTATTGCAAATCATCAATGTTCCCCCCCACTAGCAAAAAACTCAATCATCCTCATTTTCCCAGCATAGGGGGAAAGCATAATATAATTTTAAAGACCCTTTTGATAAAAAAAATTGGATATAGTTGGAGAGAGGGATATGGAAAAAGTGAATGTTTTCAGATACATTTGGGAGTTTATTGCAGCAGATGGGTTTTTTTAAGGACGAGTTACCCTATAATTGATGAAGGAAAAAAAGGGAGTGGTGCATTGGGTATTTTGGAGACAAAAAAAAGTTATCCGGGGGCAAAAAAGGAATGTAAAAAGAGTGGTGTGAAGCTTGGGTTGCAAATGTGCACGAGGGGTGGCGGAGGCAGTGGAGATGTCCGTCTAGGGGCAAGTGTGGTGGAAAACTAAGGGGAGAGAATTGGGGGGTGAAGTTAGGAGGGGTGTGGAGTACTAAAAGTATTGTCAGGGTGGGAAAAGGGGGTTTTTGAGGGGGTTAGGTCTTTTGGAGAAAAGAATAAAAGTAGACTGACTTGGAAGCATAAAATCTGTAGGGGAAAAGGGAAAGGGAGGGAGGGGGGTTTTCCCCAAAAAAGGAGGGAGAGGGGGGGTTAAAAGGGGGTTTTTTGGTGAGAGGCCCGGACTTCCGCAAGCATGTATAATGTTAGTAGGGGGTAAATGGAGACTAATGGTTTTTGGGACCCGACAAGTGTTGGGTGTGAGCAGGGGGAAAATTTTGTGAAAGGGGTTCAGGGAAACTGGTTATTTTATATTTCCGAACTGAGTACTGGGAAAAGGGGAAATACAAAGCCTGCACTCTAAAGGGAAAGGGGTTTGGGGAATTTGGGAGTTTGGAGGGGTAGTTATTATCCTTATATATGCTTCTAAAAAGTTGTATTGGGCACCTCTGCAAAAAATGATTTGTGTGAGTGGGAAAGAAAATGTTGAATGATGTGAAAAAGTAAGTGGGGCCCCCGCTTAAGATCACCCCCCCAATGTGACCAATTATGTAAGTATTTATTGTGGCTTGTACGTGTATGTTTGGGGGGCTGAAATGGGTAAACTATTCACAATATTTTTTATTGGGGCAAATTTGGTCAGTCGGAAAATGAACATCTTTGAAAGAAATATACGTTAATAGGGGTCCACTGTATTTTCTTTTTGGGTCACCCTCCCCGGGGGGGGAGACGGCGACGTTGAAGAAAAAAAAAAAATTTTGCATCAAAACATTGCGAATGCTACAGTTCGTATTTTCATACTTTGCACCAAATATTCAATATTTTCAATATGAGGTTCTTATTTCCCTTTCGTTGTGAATGTGGGGGGCCTCCTGTAATTTTTATACTATTTTTTTATTAATTAATGATTTAAATCGGTAAAAAGAATGTTGATGGCCCAGATAGAATAAACTAGGGTTTTGGCTCACCCAAAATTAGCACAAGTGTGAACTCTAAGGAGAAAGTGTTGAAGGAAATTAAAAGTAAAGACAAATTTCCAATGCCTTTTGGATAAGTAAAGGGGTGTAATGAAATGCATTTTATTTTTTGTTTTTTTTAAGGGCTAGCTATTTCTAACTTAAAGTATATGATAGTGTAAACGTTTACTGGTGAAAAAAAGGTTTTGTTTAAATTGTTTATTTTCACCCCATACCCATCCCGTGGGCTGTAGCAAAAGATTACAGAGGTGCATAAGGGCCCCGGGAATTGACCCCAAAATTATGATAGCTAAATATTACAAAGGTAATAACTCCTAAACGGTCACAATCAGGCAAGTTACAAAGGTAATGAATCTCTACACTCCTATAATGGGTTTCAACTAATAAATTACAAATTAATGAGCCCGACACGTCCACACCCGGTCCAAATTTTAATTAGTTATAAAAAACAAATATTAAAATGGGGCATACACCCCAAGTGGCAAAACAAGGACAGCACCACAAAACGCGCCACATGACGCGATGCACGCACACACGAGAGCGAGTGCGCGCACCAACAGGCGCAAAAACACAAAGGGGGCCGCACAGACACAATTACTTTACGCTGATTTTTTTCCCTTTTGGTGGTGCCGGAACCTAACTACTTATAATCAGGGGGCCCCCCTGTACTATCATGCCTATGCCTAAACTGTTTTTGAAATAAGTCGTATACTTATAATCCAGAAATTTTTATTCCTTTTAATACAATTAAGGGGAAGAAGAAAAAAAAATGCATTATTACCTTCCCAAAAGCAAAAGAAGACTTTACAAGGAAACTCGCTGTCTATCCCCCTCGTCTTAATGGCAATGTTCAGCCCTGGGCAGTTCTCCAAATCCAAATTTTTTTTCTCTGGTTTCCCACGAAGAAGAGAGTCAAAGGCTCTTTTACTATATAAAAAAAGGCACTGTAGTGGAATGTGACATACCCCTGCGGTTAAAAACTCCCCCATGCCGGGCACTTCCCGCCAAGAAAAAATCAGCTAAAAAAAAAAAAAAACAAGATGCGCAGGAACCAAATTTGTAGTAAGAAAGAGGGATCAAAAAATGCTGAATACTATGGAACACAGCAATGAATATGGAACATAGCAAAAAAATGGAAAATGCCCCAAAGAATTATTAAAGACTTGAAGAAAGAAATGTTAAAAAAAGTTAGAAGCAAAAAATTCAAAACATAAAAAAATGTCATAAAACAATCACTAGGAGGAATTATTTTATATAAATATTTAACGCATCCTAAAGAAAAAACCCAAGGATTTAAAAAAACAAATGAACTTTTCATATGTATTTGTTTTTTTCTTAAAAAAAACCAAATTTTAAGGGGAATTCTATTACTAAAATTTTTCCCTAAAAAAGAAAAAAAGATTTTAAAAAATTTTTTCTCTTTTAATATTATTTGTTTTTTTTATTTTTTTTTGGTCATTGGGGTAAAAGGGGCTTTTTAGGTTGGGGCACAAATTTTCCCCCCCAAATTTTGGTATAACTTTCCTTAAAATTTTAAAAAAGGGGAATAAAAGAACTTATTTTAGGGGTTTTAAAGTTTCGTATATCGACCCCAAAAACAAAAATTATTTTGTAATTTGTTGGCTTTAAAAATAATTAAATTATAATTTTTCTATTTTCTATTACAAAAAATCAGTGTTTAATCCCTTAAACAAAGAAATAAGAAATGGTAATTTATTTATGTTTATTTTTTGTTTTCATTCTTAACTTAAATGAGGAAAAAATTTTTTAAAAAAAATTTTGTTTAAATTTTTTACCTTTTTAGGAAGGTAATTTTTAGAAAATTTATGCATAGGTTTTAGAGTTTTTTATTTATGCCCGTATTTTTTTAAAAGATAAAAAGCCTTTTTGGTTTTTATTTTTTTTAAAAAAAAAAAGAAATAAAAAAACCATTTAGGAAAAAAATAATTTTAATGGAAATTTAAAAAAATTTTTGAAATTTTTAAAGGAAAATTTCAAAACCCCTTTTAAATTTAAATGAAGAAAAATAAATAAAAGAATAAGACAAAAAGAGTGAAGTTTTTAACTAAAAAAGCAAGTTTTAAAATTAAAAGGGATTGAAAATTTTTTTGGCCCCCGGCATTACAAAGGTCAAAGGTTTAATTTTAAAATTTAATTTTATTCGATTGTTTCACGAAAAGAAAGAAAGTTTTTCAAATAAAAAAACAGGAAATTTTTACAAAGAGAAATCCAAATTTTAATTAATGGGGATGGGTTTTAAAGGCAAAAGGGAGGGTTGAGATGTTTACACCATTTGTTGAGAAAATTTGGAGAAAAAATTAAAAAATAAACTGGGGGTCCCAAGGGGGAAAAATAGGGGGGGAGATTATTAAAAGGTTGTTTGGGAAAAAGGAAAGGGTTTTTTAAATTGGGGGTGGAAGTGGGGTAGGGGGGGAGGGGAAAAATTAAGAGGGGAGGGGTTGGGTTTCGGAGCATAGGGTTGAAAGTTAACCAGGGTTGTGGGGAATAGATAAATTTTTAAAAAGCAGTCAAGTTGAGTTTCAATAAATATTAGGAAAGGTAGTCCCGGAATGGGAGAAGTCATAGCCCCGTTACAAGGGATGGTTTATTAAATCTGATACGAAGTTTGAAGAAAAAATTTGTGCCCAGATAAAAGAATGCCAAGGATTCGTGGGGGGGACCAGTTTTTCCAGTGCCCCGGGTGCAGTTTTACAAGAGCTTTTTGTGGGTTTTAAAAGCATACATTGGTACATTTCATTTCAGTGTTTTTTGTGCTTGTAACTGCAAAATAAGTCACCATGGGCCCCAAAAAGCTTCTAGTGCCAACCCTGTGGTAAAAAGGGTGAGAAATTAGTATGGAAATTAAGAAAGATTTTGAAGGGTTTGGGGCTACCCTGAGAACCCTATGCCGTTAGGGAATCCATTGTGCCTACTTCAAAGTTTAAGGAATGTGTGCAAAGTGGGTTGAAGTGCAAACCTTTATGGATGAAAATCACCCTAACACAGCTATTGCAAGCTGTGCTGGTGACTATTACAATGACAATGTTGTGGCCCATTTTAGGGAAATCTTAAAGGAATGGGAGGTACAGACCTCTATGGACAGATTTTTTGTGCGACAGAGGTTCAGTGACTCAAGCTGGTCCTAGTGGCATTAAAAGAAGGGAAGTAACCCCAGAAAAGGACTTGCTACCTCAAGTCCTAATGGAAGGGGATTCCCTTTCTAATCAATAACTTCCACACACTCCCCTCCCCCCATCCCATCAATCATCACTAGATCTTCAATAAAGGTAAGTGTCATGTATTCTATTCTTAGTAGAGTAGTAATTGTGCATGTCTTCTTCAGTTTGTGCGTATTAAAATTAATATTTCATATGGTAAAAAAAAAAAATTCGTACTTTGGGGTGTCTTGCACGGATTTATTTGATTTCCACTATTTCTTATGGGGAAAATTAATTCGCCTTACGATAATTTCAGCTTACGATGAGCTCTCAGGAATGGATTAGTATATTAAGGCGGGGGTCCACTGTACTTGCACTCTGAAGGAGGGGTGATGTTGAAGTCGGAGGGTAATCAAAATTGTGAAGTCAGGACATTTCTGGAAAGACAAAGATTAAATGAATGATGGTGAATGAGTTTTCTTCTTTGTGTCACCCTGCCTGGGCAGAAAGCCGTTGGGGGTAGGTAAAAAAAATTCATTTTATTTTACTAAGGTTCATGACTATTTTTCACCCTGCATAAAGAAGTAGGACAGGGAGTCAGAGACAACTATTATGTATTGTATGCATGGGAAAATGCTAAACCCATGAAAGTCACACAGTGTCTAGGAAATAGCAGGCAATCAGAGTTGATCCAAGGAATGGAAAGGTAGCTCCAATTCCCTGAATCAAGAGCCCTTCACCAGCATCAAGGCACCCCACTGTGATTGGAGACAGAGAAAAGTGGAACACAAAGTGTGAGTGCCCAACTGCTATACAGTACCCAGAATTTCTTGAAAAAGTCAAGTCAACCTAAAACAAAGTACTGTACGGAAACTCACCAGAGTCCTCATCCTCATCATCATCATCAAATAAAGCATTGCCAGCACCAAAACTAAGACTTTTGAAGAGTGATTCATCATTAAAAAAGTTCCCATTATCATCTGTGCAATCTTTTGAAGGCTTTTGATTCTCTGCAATTTCTAATATTGCACCAGACTCTGAATATACATCCCTAAAAACAAAAACAAAAAATGACTATGTTGAGATACAGTATTTACAGATTAATGCAATAGGATCACCACACCTTATAATCCAAGCCAAACAGTTTTATTGAATTCTTCATATGAAATGTCAGAAATGTAAAAATAAAATAATGATCTCATTTCATTTATTCACCTAGCAATATCATTAGTTCGTAGTTTTACCTTGAAGAATCTCCCACATCCTTATTTTCTTACTAGTTTTCTTTCCAAATTAACAGAGTACAAATGAGTCAACAACAAACTCTCATATCACACCGCAAGGTAATATAATCTGTTCATTCATAATCTATTTAAGTTGATAGTACAGTACAGTTAGTTGTACAGTACAGTACAGCCTCTCCTCATTTAATAACAGTTTCATACCTAAGAATACGTCAGTAAACGTATTGGTCATTAAGTGAGGAGCATACTACACTGGTCGTGGGGTTTGTGTCAACCATCTTTAGATATTGTTTTAATGTCACATTTGCACCATTTATAACACTTTAGTATATTTTCAAATGTTTATACAGTATTTTTTTATTATTATTATCACACTGGCCGATTCCCACCAAGGCAGGGTGGCCCGAAAAAGAAAAACTTTCACCATCATTCACTCCATCACTGTTTTGCCAGAAGGGTGCTTTACATACAGTTTTTAAACTTTCAACATTAAC